TCAGCCATTGCTCTCCATCCCTGTAGTGTCTCTGCCTCAGACCCCTCCTCCGCCTTCCAGTCACTGTGCCCCAGAGATCAACATGACCAGCCCAACACGCACACCTCATTACTCTCCTCCTCGGTCCCAAGACCCGCTCCCCCCCCCATTCTCCGTCACCCGCAGAATGGCTCCCACAGCCGAAGCTATGGTCTCACCCCAGCCCACCCCTCCAGCCTCATTTCTCACGTCCCTCCTTCAAACTAGCCAAGAAACTAGCCAAGACCACTGTCATGTTCATACCCCCATGCCTTGACCCAGGAGGTGAGGTTCTCTCTGCTTAGAGTCCTGCTGGGGATTGGATTATTCACCACACAAGATAAGCATGGGCTTTCTAATGCTTATTCATCTACAGAGACTCATTTTATATGTTTTCACCACATCAAAGGTTCTGATTCTAGGGGTGGCTGGTATCTGCCTCTCTCTCACAACCCCACAGTATCTTCCGGCAGAAACAAAACCTCTTTTCAAACAGACAATCCCTGACAGGGACAGAGTACCCAGTGGGCAAAGTAAGCATAGGCTTACTTGTGCTTGCTTTCTAATCTGTCGTGAACAGTGTCACATGTTTGTTTACTTGTTGTTGCTTTTAATGCAGGAAACACAGTCAACACAAGTAAACTTGTGCTTACCTTGCTGATTGGGTAACCTACCCTACCCCTGTGTCCTCCCAACTCCTAACACCAAACCCAAACCCATTGCGATCGAGCCCCTTGGACAGAGTGGGACTTCCCCACCGGTTTCCCAGGCTGGAAAACTTCATGGAAGCCGACTGCCACATCTCTCTCCCAGGGAGCGGCCGGTGGGTTCAGATCAGGAGCGATGGTGTGCTTTCACCACAGTGCTCCTTCCCCGACCCCTAAGTCCCCTACAAATCCCCCCTGTTCCTTCAAGACCCAGCTTCATGAGGGATCTCCTTTCCAGGCGGTGCGGACACTGTGCCAGACTGTTGCCGAGCCTGCTCTTGGGCTGCATCTGAGCTTCTTGTCTTCCAAAGAGATGGGTTTGTCCCCTACAGTTGCGAACAACTTCTAAACCGTACAAACTGGTAGGGGATTTCCCAAAAGGAAAAGTTAAACTGATTGGCTGTCCTGAACTTACTTGGCCAGAGGTAGGCTAGCTTAACGCAGGATTCTTGCTTGGATTGGTTATTACAGTAGCGTGTCTGCATTCTACAGTCTAGTTATGGTTTATCTAATCACCCAAACTTTCCTCAGACTGTCTTTATGAGGAAAGTTTGTTTTCTGGGAAGGGTTTAAGTGTAAGGTACAACCAAACACCTCATGGATTTGATTTCCTGGTTCATAGGTTTAGGATCATGGGTGCATGGGACAGTCCAGTCAATGGGCCTAATATTTTTTTTACATTTCTATTCTATCTCGTGATTTTTTTAGTAGGGCCTGGGGTCTGGCCAGCTTGCTAGCAGCTGTCCAGAGTAGCACAGCAGGCTCTGTTCTCCTGGAGCAGCAGAGGCAGGGGGAGGCCTAAATACCAGAGAAGGAGCTGGACCGCAGCTTGGCCTTCTTTCCCCGAAGACCAGAAGAGATGGATGGTGCCCGGCTACCCGCATAGACCATTTGGTCAGGGATGGGTATTGATCAAAATGGGAAAATATGTGAAACAGAATATTCCTTACTGGACCCATTGAGACTGGAGGAACCCCAACACGAGGGCCCTGAGACCCCCTTTAAACCTTGGAGTGAAAAATATCCACCTGAAGTCCTCTTTACACCAAGCTGTTTAAATCGATTAGTAATGAATGCTTGCAGGAATACGGTGCTCTTACACAGAATCCCGTTTAAAACTGAAACCGTGTGACTCCACCCCCCAAATAAAATCAATAGGACAACAAAAACAACAGTTACATTTAAATGTGGAGTTGGTGTTGGGGAGACGACGGCATTTTTCTGGAACAGCCCCCACTGGGAAAGCCTCCCAGCTCCGTCTCGACCCTTTTCCCCTCCCCGGGGAAACCTCGCGGCCGCCCCGCCCCGCTCCTGGACCCGCTCCCTCCTTCCTGCCCAGAGGGACACTCTTCCAGCACCTCTCGGCCGCTAGGACCTCCCCCAAGCCCTGTCTCACTTCCTCTGGGGAGGCGGGCCCTGAGCGGACACCTCCCTTTTGACAGCTCTAGAAATTGGCGCGTGCCTTCCGTTCAGTTTCTCTTCCCGCTGGGCGCGACCAGAGCCCAGAAACGAAACTGGGGGCCCCGTCGCCGGAGCCAACATCCCCCGCTCGTCCGCACCGCTGCTGGACCCCATGTTGCCCGCCATGATCGTCTCCTCCCCCCCAGACTCCCGGTCCGAAGGCCACCGGTCCAACCCCAGCCCCATGGAGGTACTATTAGGTTTGGGGCCTCTGGGGTGGGGGGTAGGAACGGGGAGGAGGGGGCCACGGTGAGGAGCTTGGGCAGGTAGGTACCTTGAAAAGTGGCATAGACCAGAAAGACCAGACCCAAGGCCCTCGGCCTCTAGGCTGGGGGTTGGCACGGAGCAGTGGGGGTGAGGGGGAAAGAGACCCTGGTGAGTCACCGCTCTGAACTTCTGTTTAACCACGGACCGGCTAGGACGGTACTGAGGGTCATGAGGACTCCCAGGCCTACCCCTGGGGCCTCAGCCGAAGGACCCCAGATTGAGAGGGCTAGAGACGTTCTTTGGAACCAAGAGTATGGCCCGGGTGTGGGAAAACCCAAATCCAAGGCCGGCCACTGTGGCCCAGATAGAAGGGTCTTGGCCAAGGACCCCTTTGGGATGCTGTGCCACCAACAGAAGGGGCGGTAGGGAGGTCCTCCTCCGGAAAGCTTGGCCTGGACAACACCCCACTCCCCAAGGAAGTGGGTGAAGTTAGTTCCCTGCTCAGCTTTTCGGCTTCATTATTTGAAAAAAAACAAAACAACTCGCTACCATCAAGCCAATGCACCTGTAGGGAGCATGTAGATCAGGGTGGAACTGCCCCTGTGTGTTCCGCTACTGTAACTGGACAGAAGTAGGAAGCCCTTGGGGCAGCTAGTGGTTCCGAACTGCTGACCTTTCTGACTGCAGCCCAGCATGTAACCACTACTCCACCAGGGCTCCTGCATCGTTCTCACTATGAGGGATATTCTGAAGGAGTCTAACTGAGAGACTGCTAGGTTCCCTTAAGTACTTTATATGTTAAGTGCTTTGTCATGGCCTTATCAGCTTGCCTACCTTCTACACTTGAGCACTTGGAAGGCGCGATATTCCCTGTCATCCATGTGTCTCAGGACGTCAACTAGTGCCCCCGCCCCACCCTGTGGCACCATTGCAGGAAGGCCCGAGTGGTTTGGAACTGGGGTGCAGATAAGGCAAGGCTCTACATGTCCAATGACTAACCAGGTGGAATGAAACATGCAGGCCCAGGAACCCCAGGAGGAAGGAGCGCCCAGTCCACTGGGGGCTGGCAGATGACTTCTCCAGACTTCATGGCCCTCTCTGACTCCCCAGCAATCCACGGAGGAGGAATTCCAGTTCCTGCACTGCCAGCGCTGCAAGTCTGAAGCCAAGTGCCCCAAGCTGCTGCCTTGTCTGCACACCCTGTGTTCCAAATGCCAGCAGGAGTCCGACCTGCAATGCCCCATCTGCCAGGCTCCCTGTTCCCACATCCTGGATAACATCTTCTTCCAGAATCTGCAGCAGAACTTGTCGCTCTACCGGCAGATCCGGAGCCCCCATGCGGCTTGTACTCGCTGCAAAGAGAGCGCGGACTTCTGGTGTTTCGAGTGCCAGCAGCTCCTATGCGCCAAGTGCTTTGAGGCGCACCAGTGGTTTGTTAAGCACGAGGCTCATCCCCTGGCGGATTTCGAGAGCCAACCAGTGCACGAGTTCCTGGAGCGCATGCGCAAGTTCAACATCTTCTGCTCCAACCCCAGGCACAAGTCGCCGGAGTTGACTAGGTGAGACTGGGCCGGGGTAGGGATAGGGGAGCAGAGACTCCATAGCAGCAGCATACAGCTGTTGCTAACGAGTTTCCAGGGCCTTAACAGGGGCCCTGGGGGTATAGTGGTTAAGAGTTGGTTTGCTAACTGCAAGGTCAGCAGTTCAAAACCACTAGCCACTCCGAGGGAGAAAGATGAGGCTTTCTACTTCTATAAGGAGTTACATTCTGGGAAACCCACAGGGGCGGTTCTACCCTGTCCCATAGGATGGCCGTGAGTCTTCATAAAGATTATTGGCTAGGAAAACCTATGAGCCAGTTAGTTCTACTCTGCCCTGTGGGGTGGCTGTAAGTCAGAACTGGCTGGGCACCATACAGCAGCAGCAGCAAGACCTTGATCTCAAGTGTTGTCTGAGGAAACAAATCTATTAACAAAATATGGAAAAATACAGACAGCATAATCTCCATTCTACCCTTCTCCCTGTCTGACTTGTACCCCAGTCCCCCCCCACCTCTACCGTTGGTTTCCGTTGAAGGTTGAATGTTTCTCTCCAGGGTTCCCTTGTGCATGCATAAGCAGATAAGGGCATACATCTTTTTTTTTTAATTATTTTATTGGGGGCTTGTACAACTCTTATCACAATCCATCCGTACATCCATTGAGTCAAGCACATTTGTACATTTGTTGCCATCATCATTCTCAAACCATTTGCTTTCTACTTGAGCCCTTGGTATCAGCTCCTCACTTTTCCCCTCCTTGCCCACCCTCCACCTCATGAACCCTTGATCATTTATAAATTATTATTTTGTCATGTCTTACACTGTCCGACGTCTCCCTTCAAGGGGTATACATCGTATGGAGTCATATTCCTCCCACGTTTAACCCCACAGGTAGCAAGGCTATGTCATTTTAAGAGTCCAAGAAATGCCTTGCGTATGGAACAATCCCAGGCGTTCTACTCCAGTAAAGACCCACAGGGGCAAGTCTACTCTGTCCTGCAGTGTTGGGTCACTGTGAGTCTGCGTCGACTGGGTGGCAGTGACTGTGTTTGGGTTTACGGTTGTTAGTTCTTTGGGATCCGCTTTCAAAGAGACCGGAGTCTCTGGCTATTGGGACCAGATAACTGCCCAACTGCCCTCAGAACAACATAGCTGTTACACAGAGTGTGATTTGCTTCCTGTTTAAGACACACCCCCCTCAAGGCTTCCTTGAGGACCAGAGAAAGCGATCCGCTGGGAAATTTGGGTGGAAGACTATTTAGGTTGCCTTTCTTGACTTGTTGATGAGGTTGAATAGCTTTTCATATGCTAATTGGCTACTTGAGTCACTCCTTTTGTGAACGGCCTTGTTGTGTCCATACATATATGAATTAGTCTCTTTAATACGTAAGAACATACTCTCACTGCCACGGAGTCAATGCTGACTCCTAGCGACCCTTGTGGATTTCAGAGACATCACTGTTGATCAGAGCATAAGGCCCAGTCTTTCTCCCGAGGAACTGTGGGTGGTTTTGAGCTGCCAGCCATGAAGCTCGCAGCCCAACGTGTAACCACTACACCACACTGCAGTGCAAATCTTCGTATTTCCTTCATGTTGCCCTTTGCTGTTTCACTTAGTGTAGGTTATCTTGTGTTTAAAATAAGTTTTCCGTTTTATGTATCCATCCATGAGTCTCTTCCTTGCGGTCTCCGACTTGGAAGTAGGTTCAGCTATGGCCTTGGCTGGCCAGGAGTGAACAGGGTAGAACGGGTTCGAAGGCCTGCTTTGATGCTCCCTAGGAATGAATTTCCCCGTGCCAGTGTTAAAAATATTCCTATATTCTATTCTTGTTTGAGTTTTATGACCACATCTTTGTGCCCGGTATCAGGTAGGAATCTTAACTTTTCTCTCCCAAAATAGAAAGGCAGTGGTCGGGCCCAGCTATTAGATCCACAAGGCTTCATTCATTGCCACCCAGTCAGCGTTAGCTCATGGTGACCTCATGGTCGCTCGCAGCAGTAGTTAGGTCAGTGGTCCTCGCTGAGGGTTTGGTCCAAGGAGTTCCTGGGTGGGACCAACAGCTAAGCACTTGGCATCTAACTGAAAAGTTGCGGGTTCAAACCCACTCAGAGGTGCCTAGTATGAAAGACGTGGCTATCTATCTGATTCTGAAAAGTCACAGCCGTGAATACCTTTTGGCATGCGGTTCTCCTCTGAAACACATGGCGTCCCCAACTCCCGGCAGTTGGCCATTCCACCCCTACCCCCACCCCCACTTTACCAAGCACGGTATCCTTGTCTGTCCATTGGTCTTGCCTAAGGATTTGTCCAAAGTAATCGAGGCAGCATATCTGCTTCTAAGGAGATAGTTTCATTCTGGGTCACTATGAGTCCAAACAGACCGGATAACAATACAGTATTGATTATTCATGGTCCAAAATGGCAACTGTAGCTTGTTTCTATGCTGAATAACAAAGTTTCTTATGTGCTGTTGTTTGTTTTGCTAAGCGGCAGCCTTTCTCAGGTGGTTTTCTTTAGCTCTCTGTAAGGAAGTTGCTACCCATTCAGGTTGAGTGGCGGTTTGTTGGTACTGTTCCTACTTTGTTTTCTTCTTCACTCGGGATGGGTGTCCTTTTTCGGACTCTCCGGAGGTGTCCTTGCACCTAGTATGGCGGATGTGATCAGTACATTTCTTAATATCAAACCTTTCAAATTCCCTGGAGGGAAAGACCTCATATGGCCATGATATCAAGGGAGCCCTGGTGGCATAGTGGTTATGTGTTGGGCTGCTAACCATAACGTTAGAGGGTTGAAGCCAGCAACTGCTCCGAAGGAGAAAGACAGGGCTTTCTACTCCCGTGAAGAATTAGCCCCAGAAACTCGCAGGAGCAGTTCTACCCGGTCCTCTGGGGCCAGGATGAGTCCGAATCGACTTTGTGGCAGTGCATTTTGGGTCATAGCTATTATTTTAATCCCCAGCTGGAATCCACTTATTAAAATTTTATTTGCGCTATTGCCTGTATTCACAAATGTGATCTGCTTTATTGGAATGCAAGTGATTTCCTCTAACCCAATTTTTAAATGATTTTATTTTATGTTGCGAGTCGTTTCCTAAGTCCGTGTTTTAAACCGTCTTATACTAGTCTTTTATCATGAACACCTAAGCTTTCCTTCTGTTTGGGACATGGTCGGATTCCATTGAAGTTGCTTAGCACGGTGCCTCTTGTTCACTCGCGTGCGTCATGCATGCACTTGATTCCGAGTCCCCGGCTGCCCACCGTTGCTGCCCACTCTTCTCTGGTCTTCACACCTGAAGAGTCGCCGGTGGGTTCAAACGGCCAGACTTTCCATTCGTCACAGATTGCTTCACCATTGGGCACTTCCTTTGCTTGCCTAGCACACATTGTATACATTATATACATTGTAACATTGTGATCAGTGTTAACATTCTAGTACCAGTCTCTGCCGCCGGGTAGTTTGAAACAGGAAAGGCATTCTATCCTCTTCAGACTTCCAGAAACTGCTGGAAAAACCACCTGGACCTGATACCTTTTAGGATCTGATTGAGAATCTGCACTGTTTCTTCCAGGGTGTTGCTCTGGTTTGGGTCTTGAGTCAAGATTTTCTGGGAATCGTCCAGACCATCCAGAGTTTGTTGTCTTAAAAATGCTCCTCTCCACCAGGAATTAATTTCACCCCTTTTTTAAGGCCTGGTGGTGCAACGGTTAAGTGTTCAGCTGCTAACTGGCCGAAAGGGGCATCGGAGGGCTTTCACGATAAACACCGACTTGGACACCCCAAGGGCCAGCCCCACCCTGTGCCCAGAGGGGCTGACAGTCGGTCAGGGCTTGGATTGATTTTTTATTTCCCGGGTCTCATTTTGTATGTTTGTGTTTGGGAGCCCCTGGGTGGTGCGCCCAGTCCACGGGCTCAGCTGATGACTGGAAGGTTGGCGGTTGGCGCTCACCCAGAGGTGCCTTGAAAGAAAGGCTTGCCATCTACTCCCCCAAACTCTGCCACTGAAAGTCCTGGAGAGCGAGGGCCTACTCCGCCCTGCCTGCGAGGGGTCCACGAGCTGACCCAATGACCGTGGCCTCTATTTGTGCCTCTCTTCATGGTCTTTCCAGAGGACCAGCGCTTAGCCTTGCCTTAGATGGCTTATGGCAGTGGTTCTCAACCTTCCTAATGCCGTGACCTTTTCATACAGTTCCTCATGGTGTGGTGACCCCCAACCATAAAATTATTTCCGTTGCTACTTCATCACTGTCATGTTGCTACTGTTATGAATTGGGTGACCCCTGTGAAAGGGTCATTTGACCCCCCCAAAGGGGTCGCGACCCACAGGTTGAGAACCACTGGCTTAGGGCCGCGACTGTTTATCTTCTTTCTAGTAAATGAGTTTGTTTGTGTCATCATTATTTCTTTCTTATATATCGTTTTATGATTAATTCTCCAGGTCATCCCTTCTATTTTTTTTAATCATTATTAATGATCCAGTTTCTTGGCTCAAACATTTCATTCAATTATTTGTGGTCTTCACTGTTGAGTGATTGATTCTTTTCATTATGGTTTTTTTTTAAGGGTATGTGTTTCTTTAAATGGCTTTGGCAGCACCCCTTAAGTTGAATAAGGAGTGTCCTCCTCAGAGTCAATCATTGCCCAAATAGCTTTACTTTCAGGTTTGATTTTCTCCCTGGTGGCAGGATTTTAGTGGAGAATTATTCACGTGGCTTGCGATGTGTGGTTTCTATATTGGTGTCAGCTTCCTTTTCTTCTTCTTTTCATTTAATACTTTTATTGGGGGCTCTTACATCTCTTATCACAATGCATACATTCCTTCAATTGTCCAAGCACATTTGCACCTATGCCACCATCATCATTTTCAAAGCATTCTCTTCCCACTTGAGCCCCTGATATCAGCTCCCCATTTCTTCCCCCTCCCCCCCCCACCCTTCCTGGTGAACCCTTGATAAGTTATGGATTATTTTTCCATATCTTACATCGTCCTCCATCACCCTTCACCCACTTTTCCATTATTT